AGTTACCTTTTCTTTTTATGGTACAAAATTATCAATAGCATTTTATCTTCCATATTAAACGTAATTTCTTGCAAAGTGCCTTCTACATCATTTCCCAATGGCAGCAATTTTGCACAAAACCTATTTAAATTTTATATTTGCACGCCTTTGGTGTTAGGTCGGCAATTTACATGTACAAATAGTAATCCCGGGACCTGGTTGAACGTCCCTGTTGATAAACGTGAAGCATCACCCCCATTTGCATTAAAAGCTCGTCGGAAAATTAAAGTTCATCTCTGCATCACCGACTAAAGTTATTTTAGTATGAACGTACATATTATCCTTAAACATGCAGTACAGTTAACACCCTTCGCTGAAGGAGTTCTTAACTTCGGGACGTTACAGAATGCGATTTTAGAATACCTAATTTTGTTCGTTATTTATTTTTATATACAGCTTGCGAAATTCCATTAGGTTTTATAAAATTTTTTAAAATACTGTCACATATAAAGACTCTCATTTCTGAGAAAATTCAATAGCAGCTTGTTACCGTTTTTTATTCATCAATGCTTTGAAACTGAGAAACTTTTTAAAATTGCAGGCTATTATGTGTCATACACACAACCAAAATGTATTCATTCGATGCATTCTGTGATTACATATCTACGAATGCACGTAGGTATATCCAGCAATATTTCAAGGGCTTCATTTTTATGCCCTAATTAGTGTCGTTTTTTTTTTCTTTGAAACCTGCGTCGTGAATAGAACTTTGCGACTTATATTGAAACGAAAAATTAATGTAGGTACATAGCCGCGAGAAATGGAAACAAGTCGCATCGATCTCATAGCCTTCTGAGAGACAATACAAATGAGTACAGGTACGTTAAAAACACAATGAGAAAGTCACCGGTTACTGAAGTTGTATAAAGTGAAAAATATAATAGAACTAGACGTTAGAAATACATTGGTAGCACTATTGATCAACCCTTAAGCCAATTGCAAATAAACTACATACTCTCTGTACCCAAAGTCTTTACAAAACGTAGGCATTAAATGTAATGTTTCAAGTCTCGGCTGGTTGTGAAACTGTTTTGAAACAAATGAGAGTATTTGACGTTTTAATTGTTGAAGTAAGGTAACAGTGACCTTCTCGGGATCATTTGAGCATTCCGTAATTGTTGACAATTAAAAATGTGTCGAGTAAAGCTTGCTATAAAAAAATAAAGAAGTAATTACTCTCTTGCATTCGAAATTAAAATGAGCTACGCAAATGGCCACTATAACGTTAAGGAATTCCTTTAAAGTTTTCTTTCCTTTATTAGTTACATGTTCGAAGTTAATATTAACTTTCTTAAAAGCTTAGAATTGTTTGAAATATGATGTTTATATCGTGGATATAAAAGGTTAGAAAGGACGGCGCATTAGAATGAGTAGGAGAACAGGAAATCAATAAGAAATAAGCTAGATAGGTTGGTATCGCTAATTAGAGATATATTAGAAGTAGAAGCAGGAGTAAAGAGGGGTATACGCACATTTAGACTAGATTACTGTTCTCAAGCGTTTAAGCTCAAGATGTAGGTTGCTTAAATTAGGAAGAAGTAATAATGATGAAACAGTACTGTAAGGGATCTTTTAACCCTTCTAATTAATGTTTTCCTGAAAATATAATTTTAATCTGTCATCAGTCCTAACATCGGTCGTTAAAATTCCGCAAGCTTTTCCCTGTATCTGTTTTTCCTTCTTGTAGAACTAATATGAGCATTTTGTGTAGACACGCAATCTTTGTTGTTTAGTAAATTTATGTTTTTCCTTTACCACTTTTCTTCGGTTCATTTGTAGGAAGTGTTATTAAAGTCACTTGTCCATAGTTTTGCGCTTTTTTACTTACTTTACATTCCGGCTTATTTTATTACCCGTACTTACCGATTAATAGTCGAAGACGTTTGTAATTTTTCCGGGAGCTTTTGTCGCAGTTATTAATTTTGCCCAACGGAGCACATGAATAAATTATTTATAATCGTCGAACGGGAGCAATGAAAAATTGTTAAGTTTTCGAGTTTCGTGACCACTTAATTTCACGGAAAATCGTCTATCAGACGGAACCAGGTCGTGACATATGGTTAATGATGATAACGGAAGACCAAAAATTATACGTTCTTTATTAATAGTAACACAGGCCCTTAAATTCACTTAACTTAATGTCTTTTATACTGAACCTTCTTGTTCTTTTTATTATTTAGAAATAAGTAGTTTCTGTGGCACACAAACCAAATGTGGTTGTAATATTTTCAGCTAAAAGTGAAACAGTTGAAATTCGTTTTTAAGGAAACTGTATCTGATTCCTGTGGTCCTTCGAGCCGGTTAATATATGTGCAACCGTCATCGAAATAAATTATTTCATAGTTTAACGAAAGATTTAGGCATTTTTACAAGTTAAAAGTAAAGTCGTTCTGAATAATTTTGAGTACAATTTTACAATATAAATGATAAAAGGCAGAAATTTCTTCTAAATATTTTTGAGTATTTTTAATCTGTGACAATTTCTGCATGTACAATCATGTATAAGTTCTGATTCTTTCGTTAAATTGAAATAAGTTATTTATAGATATCACGTATTCTTCTGTATTTGAGTTACAATTTTCCGTATATGATCGGAAATCAATTTAATCAGCGTCCGTTTCCGATAAGACCTGGATATATAAGAAAGGAAAACGTGTCAATAATATATTTGAAGATTGAGAAATTGATACGGTATTTAATTTGAGTTTCCTCAGCGTCCGTTCTCTTCTATGCCTTTCTTATTCTTTAGGTGGAACTTAATTCAAAGAATAATGATGGTCATATTATACATTTTATCATTCTCTTTTCTCTTTATATTAATTCTGTATTAAACAAGTTTTAGAAATGCTAAGGGATAAAAAACTAAACAGGAAATGGATACTTATGACTTTGAGTCCTTGTCAGGAAATTGAAAATATCTGCAGAGAAAGTAATTGTAAATTCCCATTCAATTTGTCTTACCTTTTCAACTTCTTTCCTCTTTTATGAATTCCTTTTTTATCCCCTTCAAATCTGGAAGCAATCAATCACTGCGGACTATGAATAGAAGTATATATATATCATCTGTCATTTGACATGCCCAAAGTAACATTCTTTCGCATAGTTATTACGAGTTGCTTAATATAAATCCGTATCTTAAATACATTTTTATTATTGTTAACACACATCAATTTATTAAGTATTTCTTTAATTCAAAAGAGAAAGTTCAAATTTAATGAATAATATTGTAGTTGAAACTGTCGGTAACACAAATAAAGTACTTACGTAAATTTACAACCCCTTTCTACTCGCACCCTTAAATAAATTCGATTCATAACTTCCGGCGTTCGATGCAAAATGAAGCAGACACTTAATGAATCCTTTCACCACTTGGAATTTCAATTTTTAATAAATGCCTTTGATTCAGGAAAGGCTTGAGGACGATTGAGATCGCAAAACAAATAAGGAAACAGAGTTCTATTTATTAAAAGCTTTCAGGATTCCCCT